GATTTCTTGATTTTATTTAGATTTTTTTTTTGTTTTTTTGGGTTAATTTGGAAAAAGATGGTATAGTTAGTTTCGGTTTTGCTATGAAGGCAACGGTTGGCTCCACATTGTAGCCAACCTTCTAAATACAACAAGAAAATTATACCATATTGATAAAATTATTATGGTATGATTTTCTTGTTGTATATAGAAGGTTGGCTCCACTATGGAGCCAGTTATTGGCTTCATTGTAAAACTGTAGTTAGTTGTTGCTGGATTTTGAATCTATATTAAAATAATTAAAGTTAATTTGAGGTAAAAGTAGGAGCAAAGATGATGTCAATTGAAGATTATTTAAAATTATGTGAGTGATGAACAATGAGTGAGTTAGGGTTGACGTAATGTGTACTTATAATTGACTGATATTATTTAATTATGATAATGTTATAAATAGTATAGTTGAGTTAAAGTTGAATTAGATTTTGAGTAAAAAAAAAAGTTAATGGTTAAACTAATTGATATATATATATATATTGTGAGAAATCTTATCCAAGCATCCTCTAAGCAATTTTTCCTACATAGAATCTCAAGGAAAGAAACTTTTTTTTTTTATATATTTTTTACTTGGATATTATTGTTTTCTTATGGAAGTGTATGCAAATGAGATTTCTAAAGACTTTTAATGAATTTTTAAGATTTGAGAAATCCTAGTTTATTTAATTTTCTCAAGACTTTTAAAAGTTGTGAGGTATTTATTTGAGATTTGAAAAAGTCTTACAAAATCTTGAGGCATTTAACTTATTTGGGATTATGATTTGTTAAGACTTTTTTGTAAGAAAATATTGACCGTTGACCATTGACTTTCCCCGAACCGTCTCATATCGTACCGAACCGAAGAACCGAAATTGAGAACCGAATTTTAACATTAGATGTGTGTTATTAATATATTTTATGTCAACTTTGATCCTATATGATTTGAGATTTTTTTAAAATGCAAATAAAATATAGTAATAATAGTTAAGCTTTACTTAAATTTCATGCTTAGTAACACTTGATTTATAATTGAATTTTTCTACTATAAAAAAATTATTTAAAATGGTATGAAAGGTTAAAAATATTTTTTAAGAAAAAAAAATATTATTTTGTTTGAATTTTAAATTTTCAATATTAGTTGCACAAATTTAGTCTTAACTAAAATTTAGAGTTACTTCTAAAGTTGATTTCAAAACACAATCTTTAATATGAGAAAGTATTGTTGAATTTTTTTTAAGCATATAAAAATTAAATAACTAAAATCTATAGTTACTTCTAAAGTTGATTTAAAAAAAAATCTTCAATATGATGAAGTATTAATGAATATTGCTTTTTTTTAAAGCATATACAAATTAAAATATAATTAGGTAGTCATTAGAAAAAAATTTAAAAAAAAAATAAGAAATCAAAATCCAAACTGAACCATATTGAACCGAACCGTTTCAATAGTCTCGAACAATGTTTTAATAACCGTACTGGTCGTCATACCGGTGTAGCGACCGGTATGCGGTATTACCGGTACGACCGGTATTACCGTCTATTTTACCGGTTTTAATAAATATTAAATTAATTTGTTATTATTATATAAATAATATACAAAACTAACTTTAATTAATACTAAAATAAATTAACATCTAATAACAATATAAACATATTAAAGTTAGTGTAGAAATTTCAATTTATATAAATAAAATAATAAAAATCTATTAAAAATATATTTTTTTTTTAAAAAATGGCATAAACCGGTATTCTTACCGGTATTTTGGCCGGTATTTGCCGGTAAAACCGGTGTTTTTGGTACGAAACCGGTATTTTGGCCAAAACGATACTTTGAGTGTAAATGTACCGATCGGACCACCGGTATCCGGTATTACCGGTAATACCGGCCGGTACGAACCGGTATTTAAAACATGGGTCTCGAATACCGCACCACTACAAAAAAAAAAAAA